CCTTTCCCTTTAGGCATAAAAATACATCAACCATATCAAGATTGTCATATTTTTGCCAATTGAGGTTGATTTTATATTCAAAATTGTGGTCATGTAGGTTCACCTGCGATAACTTCAGATCATTCGTGGTTGCCCAGGGGATTAGCCAATGCACGTAAGCTGACCAAGAAACTCATGATTACCACCAAAGAAATCTACATATAACAAAGTTTTATACTAACTATTGACCGGCTTTTCGAAAGAAGTGGTCGATCTGCAAGCACCCACGCGGTTGCAAACTACTTGTTTTGGTGCCATACTTGCCATTTTTGGCCAAAACTGAAGATTCTTTGCAATCCTGCTCATATAGAAAGAAATGGAAGGTTACTAATGATACAAATGCTAACAAGAGTTTAACCCTTGTGTGTCAACTAATAACCGCAGCCACATTAAGGATTTGTTTATTAGCAGCTTAACGAGCTTAATGGGACTCGTAGCTTATTTTGTCAACTATACATGAATGTTTGGTAGTGACTTAATGATATAGAAAGTAACTTATTCAATAAGCTTCTAGAAGGAAGCTTTATACAGAAAGCCAAGTTTTTTTTCCAAACCTACACCTCCAAATTAAAATACAAGCTTCTTCCATCAATGAAAAAACCCTCTAAATCTATACAGACAAATTGCTCCACAAAGTCAATTTTATTCATACAGGACTTAATTTGAAACCAACCAATCGGCCCTAAGTATACAAGAACACAAAAAGGGTAGTATTTTCGTTAAATACTCCCCAAAAATAAGCAAAAACTTGTACTGGCAACAAAGTCCCCAAGTTACCATGATTATCTCAAAAGAGATGGTATATGTTTATCTGGTGTAACTATGGGTGTCCAAGCCAGCTTGCGCACGCCTCCACTAGTTCCATGGAGCCTTGAAGATAACAGTAAAGAAAGTCCCTAGTGGTCCTAAGGAGACACCGGTGACCCATATGGAGGAGTTCTAAGACCTAGCCTTTATTTGCAGATTGCAACAAATTTTATGTTTTAGTCAACATTAAAAATCTAAAACACGGCCAATAACAAGAAGTCTTCTATCCAAACTATTGGTTAAAAGCAAATCCAAGATAAGTTTTTGTGTTCCATCTTCTCAAATCCGTACTAGAATCAGTAGAGATGAAAGTTATAAACATTCTAAAGCAAACCTTTGCTCAACTACAATAAAAAGCCAAACCATACGGACTTAGAAAAGGGAAATTGACCAAAATAGCCAATCTCCTCAATCATCAAATTCACTTTTTAGCCACTTTTGGCATTTAATTCCCATTTTAGCCACAGTTTACGCAAATGCCTTACACATTTGCGTAACAGCCTATTTTAAAATTTTAAAAAAATCTTTAAGCAAATGGGGATCCTTATATAAATTACGCAAATTGCATAAGATTTTTCATGATATGAAAATAGGCTTTAAGCAAACTCCGGCTAAAATGGGAATTTGATTGAAAAATGGCTAAAAAGTGAATATGGGTTGGAAAGATTGGTTATCTTGGTCAATGTCCCCTCAGAAAATCTCACTCAAAAAGTAGGGTGGGGGATATATGTAGACCTGACCTCTACCCCAAATAGTAGAACAGTTGTTTCCATAAATACCCTCCGCTTGTGCAAGAGTGTGAGTAAACAGGAAGAAGGAATAAAGAATAGCATATGAAACATATAACACGAGAAAAATAAGAGAGAAAAAAGTAATAGGTATATTGAACGCATACAAATGATATAGTAAAGCTTTACTCGAATACAATGCAAGTGATAAAAACGTACCTGTGAGGACAGATTCTGAGATCTTAAAACTTTGATTGTACCACCTCTACCATCGGCTCCAATAGCAATAAGATTTCCCGATACTTGTGTTGGTATCGAAGACGCATTAAAACCCTTGTTTTGACCCTTTTTGCACCATTTTCCAAGGTGCCTTTTAGTTCCGTCTGGACCTAGCAGTCCGGCCGAGAAACAAAAGTCTCCTGGTAGTTTTCAAGATTTCACAAAGAAAAATAAAGAAAACAAGACAAAATAGCTAGTTGGCAATCAATCTATTATAAACGCAAAGACTATGTTTGGCAAAACAGCTGATAAGCTAGTTGTTGGCTGAAAAGGTAAAATTTGGAAGAAAAAAAATATAAGGGGCATGATTGGAAAGATAAAAAAGTGGAAAAGCCATTGGAGCTTATTGAAACGCTATTTGAAGTAGCATTTTGGAAAAACCAACTTATAAAGAGTTGTTTGGTTGGTTTTCCATCAAGGGTTTGTCTGTTAACAACTTGATGAGTTTAATGGAACTCGCAGCTTATTCAGTCAGCTATACATGATGGTTTTGGTAGTGGCTTAATAATATGGAAAGTGGCTTATTCAGTAAGCATTTAGGAGGGAGCTTTATGTACAAAGCCAAGTTTTTTTCAGACTTGCTCCTTCCATCTATGAAAAAAAAACCTCCCAATTAAAGACTTCCTCAATCTATACAAACAGATTAATCCAGGCAGACAACTTTATCCATACAAGACTTTATGGAAAACCAACCAAAGAGTCCCTAAGTTATGTATGGATAGAGTTGCCTATGTAAATTAATCTGTCTGTATAGATTTGGAAGCTTTTTATTCGGGAATGTTTTTCCATAGATGAAACAAGTGTGTTTTTCAATTGGGAGGGGGAGGTTGAAAAAAACTTGGCTTTCTACATAAAGCTCCCCTCTAGAAGCTTAATGAATAAGCCACTACCAAACTGTTATGTATAGCTGACCAAATAAGTTGGCTTACAATCCCAAACATGGCCAAAGGCTCAACCTCTTAAACAGCATTCATTTCAGAATCATACAGTGAAAAGTATCATTACCTTCTTGAGAATTAACAACCGGCAAAGCTTCTTTTGTGATGTTAACCGGAGACTTATTTTGCGGAATCTCGTGAAGAAGCAGCACATCCTCGTCTTTATGGTTCAAAGAAACCCCATTTTGTTTTCTTGTTTCATGCACAGGCCTCGATAAACAGGAACCACCATTTGTTGCGCTTTTAGTAGGCTCAGGAACTGGATCAAATGACGAAAATTCATGTGATTTTAAAACCTCGGGTGTGTCATCGTCAATTAGAATGTAGGAACTTATCCCCGGGTCCGGAGTGCTGAAACCATCTTTATTGTTACTTCCGTCAATATTCTCCGAGACTTTTAACCTCTTCGTATTTCTAAGATGAACGGGATCAATAGACATGGCTGCAACTTGATCTACGTCTTCCTTTATTGTATCCTGTGGCGTACATGTGTCGATACTAGTGGAGTCCACACCATTTAGTACACTCACGGATCTCTTTGTTGTCCGGGAAGCTTTTAATGCTCTCAAGACTTCATTGTCTTTAATTTCATTTGTGGTTTCCAGTTCTTGGATTCTTTTCTGAAAAGTAACGCATATTAGATTATCCATTCATGCCTTTCAAAAAGAAAGATTATCCATTCATGCCTTTCAAAAAGAAAGATTATCCATTCAGCAAGATTAGATATCAAAATGGTTTTTAAAATGGACTTGCCTTCAATTTATCTACTTTCTCTTTAGCTTTTTCAAGCTTTTTACGGGTGTGTGCCTCTTCTCTTCCAAGAGTGTTGCACTTGGCAATTAGTTCCTTATACATCCTATTATAAGGCATGAAATAGTAAGAGAATAGTAATATGAAGAAAAAATTATAATATAAGCATTGGAAGAAGATCAATGAATACAATACAAGATGGTAATTAACTACTCCCTCTGTCCCAAAATAAGTTACCATGTTTCTATTTTAGTTTTCCCAAAATAAGTGTCCTCTTTTGTAAGTAGATTTAAGTTTAGGGGGAAACCTCCAAAAAAATGAAAAACTGAGGAACATCCTAATAACCGTTCATTTCTACAATATACACATGTGCACACAAGTAATTGAAGATGTTTCCAAGTTTCTATGCTTGTGTGCATGTTATGCACATGTGCATACTAGAAAAATTACTTACAAATAACTTGTATGCGCATGTGCATACCTTACAGGTGAATGGTTACCAAGTGTTACTCAGTTTTTCATTTTTTTTGGGGTCTTCCCCTAAACCTAAAAGTAATTGTCTGCTTTCTAATACTACCCTTAATTATGAGATGGAGAAATTCATTACTCCCTCTATTATTAAGAGCAAATCTGTCATTTACTGAACTCAAAAGTGAAAAAGTTACACATTTCTAAAACATGTGGCTTTTTCATTGTAGACATTCATTTTGATTTTTGAGACACAGGAGAATACTAAATATTCCTGATCTTTCAGTGTGTTATTATTATCTTTTAATGTGCCCACTACTTGCCCCATGTTCATCATTTATTTCGGTTCTAGACATGAAAGCAAGAGGTTCAGGGAAAATGATACATGCATTCCATGCATCAACCTACAGGCCCAAGCCCAATATGCTATATATTCTAGAAGAGGGATAGAAGGGGTAATTGGGTAATTCTAAATAAATTGATAGTATAAATAGGGGGTGGCAGAAGAATAAAGGTATCCAGAAAATTGTTCATTGTTTTGTTTAGGAGAGACTAGCCTCCTCGAATGCTAGAGGTTCCCAGTTTATTTTCCATTTAATCATACAACAGATTACTTCTTTCCTTTGATCCCACTGTTAATAAATTGAGAGCTTGATTCATAACAATGCATTAAAAGAAAATTGAGTTTGTTTTTTATTTCAAATTAACAAAGAAGACATAGACAACTACCACGTTAATAGAGAGTTTCTATCAATTGAAAAACGTTGCAAAACTTAAAAAACCAAATCAAACAGGCCCATTAAAAGTAAGGTTTGAGAGGGGTGAGATGTAGGCAGACTTAAATCGCTGCTAAACTTAAAATAACGAAATAACCCCCTATGTTTCCATGAAAAGGGTAAAAAAATAGCTTACTTGTTGCGAACAACCAATGACTTCTTTAAGACATCAGAACTCTCTTTACTGTGGGCCCCAGTACCCAAAGAAGCAAGTTTCACAATCTCTTCCTCTTCCAAGTTTAAATCAGAGACCCTACAAATCTCATAATCATCTAGCCATCTAAATGCTAAAAATTAAATTAAGAATCAGAAAAATGAAGGTTTTTTCTCCCTCAAAGAGCACTTACAACTTGAATGAAGCAAGTTCTTTGGCTAAAGCCATATTCCTCTCCTGCAACTTAATGCGTTCCAAATCTGATTTATTAAGTTCCTGCAATATAATTAATAGTAAGAAATGCACCCTCCCTAAGCCAAACATCCAAAAAGAATGAAAAAGCAACAGGCTCCCAGCATCATTCACATGTGAATGGAATCTCTTAGGATAACTCTAGTGATGTCTAGAAAAGAGCAACTGACTTTTAAAAAGATATTTGGCAAGAATGAGAAATTTTAGACAAAAAGTGCCAAGTACAATAGCTTTGTTTTCATTTTACATTTCAACAATTTGTCCAAAATTTGCTCATTCTTGCAAACAGATTCTTTTTGGCATTTCATAAGATCAATGGTTGGTGCAATGAAAAGCAAAGTGTTCAAAAAGTCAATCGCTTTCAAATGAAAACAGTGTTTTACCTGTGTTTTCATATTAAGTAAACGATTAATTGTCTGGGTTTGCTCCAAAGCTTCATTTTTCAATGCTGATTCTTTCTTCAACTGCTCTTTGCACACACAAAGCTAAAGATAGAAAATACACCATTAATGTAATCAAGAGAAGTAGTAGACAAGCATCGCAAAGTGTAGTCAAATACAAATTATTAGATATTACACTAGCCAAAAGATACCAAAAAATAAATAAGATCTTTACGGTTTTTGTTATCTAAACCACCAAAGATTATATCATATATAATTTGAGCAAAAAAGTTGATTACCAACAACCCGTAACAGCCCCACATGAAATTGCCCCCTAAGAACCACATGTAAGGAGGCATTTCAGAGCTGACTCAGTAGCTGAGACTAGCAAAGGGGGTCAAGCCCGTCTCCCGCAGAATTCGAACTTGAACCCGTTATGTATTTGAGCAAAGTCGCTCCGCCCCTTTGCCAACTGAGTTACATGCCCGAGGGCGATAACATCATATATATAATTGACTTGTGATTACATACATTTTTCATGGGCAGCTGAAAAGATCTTGCAACATTATATTGAAATTTAAAAAGTTGCATGACAACCAAATAGAAAGGTCTTTCTGCTATCAAATTTGATATAGCACATCAAAGGATCACTAAGGGCCTGTTGTTAGCTGCTTAATGAGACTCACAGCTTACTCAGTCGGCTATACATGACTGTTTGGTAGTGGCTTGATGTTATAGAAAATTTTTATTCAATAAGCTTATGGGGGAGAGCTTTATACAGAAAGCCAAATTTTTCCAAACCCGTCCCTCTCAACCCCTCTCAAATAAAAACCTTCTCAATCTATACAAACATATTAATCCACACATACAGCTTTATCCATACAGATCTCAATGGAAAACCAACTCAGTTACAACAGTTCACCCCATAACACATAAAAGCATCATCAAAACCTCAGTTATTTACAAGTTTGTGGGAATGAAACTATTACCTCATTACTAATGTTTTTGAGATCATCCTCTCGACTTCCTAAAGCTGAGTTGAGCCCCTTGACCTTACCCTCAAGTCTCCTGACTTCTATCTGCAGTTCCTCTGGGTCTTCTTTGTGACTTTGCAGTTTTTGAGAGAGCTTAGGCTCATTAGCATCACCAACTGACTGGAAATAGAGCCGACTCACGTTGGATGCTGAACAGTTTTGCTTGCATATGGGACATTTCTTCTTCCCTTTCGAACAGTACTCGAACCACTGTTGTATGCTAAGTTTGTCACCATTAGAAACAAACAATCTATCAATAAGCTAAACAATCCCAATATATCAAACCCTAAGGTCGGGTCTAGAGATATGATAGCATTTTAAACATAAATGTCTGGACTTAGAACTTATAAAAAGTTCGAACGATTATAATGAACAATCAACGTTAACAACACACAAACACATACACACACACATCATTCAAATTCAGGAGCTGGGAAAGGGTTGCTTATTTGCAACCTAAAGAGTGTATCTGAATCCAGTTAACCTTTTGCTGACAATGGTGAATTCCTTTAAGATCGGTACATCATCACATAAGAGAATCTTAAATCCGAAAACTGTTTATGTGTCCCATATACAAGGTTAACACTTTTTTTGTTATGCTGCAATCAACCATTATTGAACTCTAACAACTGAAATTCATTCATTAAATATCATCACACCTCATGAACACAAGGGTCTCTAGATCAAGAACTCAAATGCACCACCAATGGTTGAATAAGAAAATCCCTTTTCCGATATATACAAAATGTTTTCAGACATATACATTAATAGATGTATGGAGCATATTGCACCACACCTATAAATCACACATAGCCACATAGGGAGACACTGAATGTATCAATTATATATATTTGACTAAACTCTGAATCTAAAACTCAAATTCATGCATTATATATCATCACATCTCTATATAAAAAAACACAAAGGTTTTCCCATAGACTGAGTCCAAAAATCAGTTTATATAAGATTCATCCAAAATAAACAAATGATAGAAATGCATTATGGACAAAAATTACACCAAACCTGCAAATTATAAGTAGAGACACCCTAAGGTCATGTTTGTTAGCACTTAGCAGCTTAATGAGCCTTATGGGACACACAACTTACTCATTCAGCTATACATTACTGTTTGGTAATGGCATGATGATATAGAAAGCGGGCTTATTCAATAAGCTTCTAGGGAGGAGCTTTATTAAGAAAACCAAGTTTTTCCAAACATTTCCCTCCCAATTAAAGAGACATGTTCCTTCCATCTATGAAAAAACCCTCCAAACAAAAACTTTGGCAATCTATATAAACAGATTAATCCACAGAGTCAGCTTTAAACATGTAGAACTTAATGGAAAACCAACCAAACAACCCCTAACATTCATTGAATAGCAACTAGGGTTTAACAAATTGTTTACAATTGATATCATAAAGGATAATAAAATATACAAAATATTACTGAATTGAGTAAAACGGAAGTAATTTGAAACTGAAATTCATGTGTTTCGAGTTAAAAATATATTCATCGACATACATTTCACATAAGGAATGCACCACAAACTACAAGTAAGATGTAACAGGACACTAAACTTCATCGAATAAAGACTAGGGTTTTACGAATTTGTTGATCCTAATTCCAATTAATCTCGTAGATCATGTAAAGAAATACAAAAAAGAAAAGGATTACTAAAAACGAGTTAATTTGATACGAACCAGAGCTCATGGAAGACATGACCGCAAATTGAAATGGCTTGAAGATCTTCAACAATGGGTTTGAGATCTTCGTAACAGATTGAACAAATGGTTTTGGCGAATGGTTGTGCTGGATCATTGGCGGATCCGATCATGGTTCTCCAAAACCCTTTTTTTCTGAATTGAAACTACATTTGGGTTGGATTATTATATGTGTGTGTAGGGTTTGAATTGAATTGAAACCGATGGAAATTTGGTTCGGTGAGCGGGAAGAAGAATAGAAGCGCGGGGAGGAGTAAGCAGCTTTAGCTTAATGAAATTTTTATAACCATTAAAAGCAAAACTTTTTTTTATCAAACAAAATTCATCCACTAACCATTCAGATATTTCTTCTTAATGAAACTACTAAGAGGTAAACAAACAATACCTCACTCATGAATCGTGTTTGATACAGGGATTGATCTGATACATCTCGTTTTATAATATGCATTAAAATGTGGAGATTGCTTCTTATGATGCATCAAAAGGTAGAGATCTTTTTTTACATTTCTCATCTTAACTCTCCTCATCGGAACACGACCCTGATTACACATATCCAAAGGTAATTAGATAGGGAAATTGACCGAAAAAATGGTTATTATTCTCTCATCAATTGGTCTTTTAGTCGTTCATCTTTCTCTATTATTTCAATGTCACTATCTCCACAAGTGGCACCTCCCTAACTTGCAGAGGTAGCTAAAAGACAAAAAAAAGGTTACAATTTCTACCTAGGTTCTCAAGTGGCACCTCCCTAACTTGTGGACTTGGATATAAATTGCGGAGGTGTCACTTGCCGGTCCGAGGTAGGAATTGTAATCATTTTGTCTTTTAGTTATCAACCAGTCTTTTTTCTCCCTCTTGAACTGCTCCATCAAACTTTATTTAATATGATGTTTGTTTTTGTTTTTGTTTTTGTTTTTTGAAAGATAATCATGTTTTGTGTGGTGTTTGTTTAAAGTTCATAGTGATGTTTCATCTATGAACTTTGATTGGTCCAAGTTTTTTTTACCGAACTTACCAAGTGAAATAATGATTTTTGTTTAAAGTCCATAATGTTGTTTTATGTATGAATATTGATTGTTCCAAAAAAAATACCAAAGTTTATTGGTGAAACCATAAAATGAGTGAGATAATTAAAAATTAAATAAACAAAGCAAATGTGATAATTGCGTAAGCGAGATGCCAATATATGAAAAAGACAAAAATACCCCAGTTAACGAATTTTACACTAATTGAACGATTAACAAAAGAACGTGTGTGTGTGTGTATACACATACTTTTGTTAAGGAACCCGATAATGGTCTATAGTGTTGCATGTGTCATGTGTTGGTGGTACATGGTCAATAAACGTCCATATTCCAGATGAATATACCATGTGTAAAATGAGCGTTTAAATGTCCTTCAAAAGTAAGTAAATACCGTAGGTGGGTATTCAAATAAAGGAGAGCAGCTTGCTATCAAGCAGTTATGTAGGCGCCAACTCCCAGTTATTTATCTTCTTGAAAGACATATATTGTTCAAAACGACGCGTGGGCGGTTGCATGATTCATAATCAATTTTAGGTTCCTAACGGAACTTGTCCCTACATGTACAAGCATTTATGAATTTGATAAATTGTACAGACTTACAAACCAGATTTTATGTGTAAAAAATAGTCATGAACCTTTCATATATGAAATAAACACTGTATAAACAAGGCATATGAGTTAAAAGGTTTAGGACCCTTTATCACGTTGAATCACAAAACCATGAATTGAGTTTTAGAAGGGAATTGATCTAGTATTTTTCATTAATGTTGATCTAGTGGAATACTTCAATTATGATTGATCAAAGGGTGAAAATCTCGTCTTACCATAACTCTCATTCTCACTGGAACGCAACCCTTGTGGGCTTGTCTTGTATTATCCGGTAAGTACTTATCGGTAAAATTCAATACTATCACTATCTTATCGAATAAGATTTTAGTCCGTAAAAACGGCAATCCTATGCAACAATGTACCCAGTAAGCGTTATACGCGTAAGAGCCGTCACTATCACTTATAGGATAAGACTTTTGGTCATCGTCATTGCTCTTCTTTTTGAATTATATAATATTTATATACGGCAAAATGACAAATGCAACAAATAAACTCACACACCATCTTCACCTTTAGTGAGGTTTGAACCCATAACCTCCAAGGAGGCCAAAAGGCTATGATTCTCGGTTCTTGTCATTTCTCTTACCAGTTATGATTCTCGATTCTTGTCATGTTCATCTAATGAGGTAACATGACTAATGACTTGGTAAGCATTTACTAGATAAGTGTTTAGTAAACGGCTCATAAATTACCCATTAGAATTTAAACCCTAAAACTTAAAAAATTATTTCACCGGTCTACCTCACTCTCATCCGCCCAGTCTGTCGGAAGTATATATGTAATTATCTCACCAAATTGCAAATTCACAAAAACATGATGACATTTCCACAAGAGATTGAAAATCCAACCATACAAATAGAGATTACTACCTTATAAGCAATGACACGATGATACATAATGCATTAATACTTGTACATTATACGAAGTAAAACACCCGCTCGTTCTTCAATCGAAATAAATAAATCGGTTGCAACGGACGTTACGAAGACAAAAATACGTCAAACTATAGAAGTATAAAATGTAACACGATCATTTTCTCTCTCGAGATTCATTAGAAACCCTTGAAAACAGCGAATAAGTTGCCGTTGACGTAATCGTTATCGACCAAGCTCACCAAGTAGGAAGTCTTTTGTACCTGTAATCAATTGGAACAAAGAAGATATTACACTTGACGCGTTCTTACCCTTCATATAAACAAACGCTCTACTTTGAGTGGGATTTACAGGTTACGTTTGGGTTGGTTTATTTTTATTAGTAAAGTGTGGTAATTTTCATGGGAAGAAGAGATCATAAATGTACCAAAAAGGGAATTCAGTGTTGGTTTTTCAATTTAATGAGCTTAATGGGACTCACAACTTATGCAATCAGCTATAAATGAATGTTTGGTAGAGTCTTAATCATATCGAAAAAGGCTTATTCAGTAAGCTTATAGGGGGAACTTTATGCAGGCTTCCAATTAAAAAACACCGTTCTTTCATCTATAAAAAAACTCTCTCAAACAAAAACCTTCATGGTCTATACAAACAGATTAATTCAGGTAGACAACTTTATCCATATAGGATTTATGAAAAACTAACCAAACATCTGCTTAGTCTATGTAAGGAGATGTTTGGCAAACTAGCTATGGCTGACAAACTAGATGTGACCTGAAAAACTAGTTGCTAGCAGATAAATTGTTGTGCTTACTAAAAAAATACTAACTCATAAACTAAATGACAATGTAAAATGACCTAAAAGGACATGTTGAGAAAAATATTGAAATTTTTTGAAAGGCATAATTGGAAGAAAAAAAAGACCTTCAGAGCTAGTTGAAACACTACTTGAATGAGCTTTTTCGAAGAAAAAAAAAGCTTACGGCTAATTAAATGAGACTTTTTCAGTAAGCTCAAAAAACAAGCTAGCTTATGGTTTGTCGAACACGGTCTTAGTCGAGTCAAAAGCCGACCAAAAGCGGATCCACGGTAAGGTCCTAGTTCTTGGTTCCAATTTCATATGTTTCGAGACTAATGAACCGTCTAAAATACTAAACCAAACCGAACCAAATAAAACCAGTATATTCGGCTCGAACCAAGTGAGAGAAAATAGAGCAGAAAACAAACCTCTTGGAGAAGTGATCGGGAAGAGTCATCCTCGGGATAAAATTGCGCCCATCCTCTTGACCAGATTTCGAAGGCCTCATCCTTCCATATCAAGAAGCTCGAAGGATCAACGACGGTTGGTTGAATGATCTCTTTAGCTGGGAACACTCCCCATGTAACGGCATTCACGTCGTTTTTCCCGACATTAGAAAGCAAATTCCCTTCCTTGTTCACAGCCAAGAACGTGAGTGAAGGGTTCGCCTTGCATTTCTCCACGAGAGCCTTTAACTTTTCTTCGTAGCAGAAAAACTCTACGTATGCTTTTTGGTAAACGTACCCGCCCGCAGGGCCCCATCCTTCAAAGCCAATTAAAATTGGTAAGAAGTAAGAACCCACCATTCTTGCATAAATGCGAAAATAAACTTCCTATTTAGGGTAACGAAAAATATTGAGGCAACAAAGTTTCAAAATTTCTTATTGTGTACTCTTTTTTTTTTACCGGTAATCTGTTAATCTGTTGATCTTGTAACATTTGATGACTCAGATATCAGCTTATGAAGGAGTTAAGACAAAGTGGACAATCAACTTAACATCCACGTCATCAAATGTTACATTAAATAAGAAAATTTGAAACTTTGTTATATTAAATAGAAATTGTCGTAAAGTCATTACATTAATTTAGAAAAAAAAATCTTTGTTACATCAAATAGCATGTAGTGTTTTTTTACTTTTGCATACTTGCAAGAAAAATGGTATCGTTGCCAAAAAAAGGTATGATTCTTGAAAATTTAGTCCAATTACCAAAGGGTCATTGGCCTAGCTGGTAACCTGTTACTAGAGAGATCCGAACCTCCGTAAAGGTCAAAGATTCAAGCCAGTTTTGGCATATATAAATACAAACAGACATACATATATATACATATCACGTTCAGGAGAAAACCATAAAAAATGAAAATTTGAGGAACACCCTGGACAGTATGCACATGTGTATATAAGTAATTTGTAAGCAATTTGTCCGGTATGCACACATGCATAGAAACCAAGAAACAACTTCAATTACTTGCATGCACACATGCATATCGTACAAATGAATGGCTATAATGGCGACTGGCGTTCCTTAGTTTTTCATATTTTGGAGGTTTTCCCCTGAACCTCCCCCCCCCCCCCTCTCTCTATATGTATATGTGTGTGTGTGTGTTTAAAGAAGTCCAATTAAGAGGATTCATGCTTAAGTAAAATCTTACCGACAGATGGAGAGTTGGATTTCTCTCCATTAATGGCCGGTTGACTGTTGATGGTAAGGAAACCCTTGAGGTTTATAGAAGCTAGTTGTTCATCGATGATCTTTGTCTCTGGCTGAAGTGCATCTAGTTCGGACCATGGGCTAGTTTTTAGTTGCCCAAGGCAGTATTTCATGAATTTCTGATATATAACGATTTGGTTAGACACATTTTTACATGAAATTGTTGTGATAAACCTCCAAAAGTAAAGTAAATTTAAGCAGAAATACAATACCTCAGAAATATCATCGAACTTTTTCAAAGGGACTACCCACTCTTCCTGAAGTTTCTTGTCACGGGCACGTGGTCGCATGAACTGCTCGTACATTCACAGCATATGAGAAAAGAGTCATATATATTTTTAGATGACAGCATATATGCACACATGCATAAAAACCAAGACACAACTTCAATTACTTGTATGCACATGTGCATACCGTCCAAATGAATGGTTACTACTTATTGGGTGTTCCTCAATTTTTCATTTTCTTAGGGATTTACCCCTGAACCTCCCTCTGTGTGTGTATATATATATATATACTCACAAATGAGAAATAACATAAACTTCAAAGTAAAATAAAATTGTAAGCATATTTACAAGACTCATGTACAAAAGTTAAAAATCGCATGTACCTGATGGTCAGTCAATGCTCCATATGATGCATTAGAAGAATCGCCCCAACGCCCATGCGGGTATTGTTCCCAACCGATAGTCCTCGATATGTAGCTCTTTGGACGATTGGCCCTATCAACAGAAAGATTGTATATTTTGAAGTTTGTCACACACATTACACAGCAAATTGTTAATAGATCAAGTTCAAAATTCATGTTGTGTTGCATACCAGAAAATAGGTCTAACATCTTCTTTAACACGGAAAAGGTTAGTAGGTCTCCTCCATGGTAGTGGCCTCGAAATTTTGGACTCTTCAATCAAACCAAGATTCTGCACGGTAAATTTTAGTGTAAGTTTACATTCATTAATGCAAATGATGTTATTCATTTGGAAGCATCAAATGTTCTTCAGAACCATAGCACTCGGATATCTTGTTGGATATGAAGCCTATTTAGATTGCATAACAGAGGACCGAGTAAGCGCTAACTGGGGTTGTTTACCAACACATATAGGATAACCGCTAATTGGGTAAGAGGCGGTTCGAGTCACTGACCGAGTAAGACTCCCTCCCTAAGCTTACCAAGTCAGCATCTTGGTAAACATCATGGACTGGTAAGAGGAGCTTGGTAAACAGTAGCCTCTCTGAACGGGTAAGCACCTCTTATCAGGCGGTAGGCCGGTAGTAAACACCCCTTAGATTAGATTGCATGTCCACTTGACTCTTGGGTGTTTGTTTGGTCCTACATCCTCGTGGTATCATTAGAAATATGAGTGGAGGAGGTGTGTAACATCCCATCACATATAGGTTCCGATTATGGAGCATGAGTCCCTAATAAGTCATTGGTAGTGTGTGGCTGATAACTTCCAATAGCGGTTTTAGTTAAACTAAACAAGCACAGTATTAACCCACCCAGAGGCAGGGTCTAAGGGGTAAGATGTACTCAGACCTGACCTCTACCCTCAAGAGCAGAGCTTATTCAATGAAGGGCCTCCTCACCTAGTGAAAATGGTTTTAGTTGATTCAAGTTATTTGGAAGTCCAGTATAACCCACCCAAAGGCAGAGCCTAAGGGGTAAGATCAATCAGACTTGACCTCTACCCTAAATAGCAGAGCTTAATCAGTGAAGAACCCCCCCCCCCAAAAAAAAAAAAACCTAGTGAAAAAAGGTTTTAGTTGATTCAAGTTAAGCTAAGCTTTTACGCTTCGAGATTGGAGTGCTACAACCCCTGTTATTCCAAATGAAAATATATCGAGGACTTGTACTTACTGTCAATATTGCCAATGCAGATTTTTCCATGTTGAGTGTGTAAAGATGCAATGTCTTGATTCCACTAGCCATAATTTTCTTGCACATTTCAGTACCAAGGTGAACTCCATAGGCTCTAACAGCTTCCTCATTGTCCTTGATGGGCTCCAAAGCAGCAGTGATTTCAGATGGGATCTGCAGTAGCCAATGATTAATAATTACACGTTATTATAGCAATGATTTTCCATAAGTCCTGTATGCTCCTTCCATCTATGAAAAAACCCTCCCAAACAAAAACCTTCCCAATCTATACAGACACATTCATCCACACGGTCAGATTTATCTATACAGGACTTCTGGAAAAATCAACCAAACAGCCCATTCATTAGAATAACAAGTTTGCAGGCCAGCACACCTTAGTTTTGCAGAAACCAGTCATGCGAATGAAGCCACCATAGTTGTTAATGGGCATAATGCCGGGAACAATGGGACAGGTTATTCCAATTTGCCGACAATCATTCACAAATTTGAGAAAATTATCAACATCATAGAAAAGTTGAGTGACAATCACATCGGCTCCAGCATCAACCTGCAAAATGAAATCCAAGATTAGAAATAGTAATCATCTACAAAACAGTGAACAGCAACAAATGCTTTGATTTGTTAATTAATTCTTCTAAGAAACTTGAATGATCGTATATAGGGTTTGAGTTGGCTGCATGGTTTACTTTTTCATCTTAAGTTGATGTTCATATAAACCGAACTAAATTCACCATTGACGAAAGACTAGCAAACATAAAACATGCTTAATTTATATGAAAACATAACAATCAAGAAAGATTTGACCTTCACTTTGATCAATGTTTGTATTAAATCATGTGACTAACTTCAAATGTTTTCTAGTATTGGGGACTACAAACTAAATGCACAAGAAACGAGAAGACAGGCAAAGGATAAGGTTGCTCAAGAAGCATTAGCCTATGCCCAAAGATGCACCAAGAATAAAAAATGCTTGCAATAAAATGGAGAACTATGCACCAGGGTTGTCAAACCATCAAACTCATAACCCAGGTCCCAGGATCGAAACCTGGCTCTGATACCACAACTAGTAACACCCCCCTCCCGCATGGCTAAGGGAGTCACCACAATTAGGTTCAAAACAGTTCCAAGTCAACCCATTGGTTAAAGCAGAGCGGTTAATATAACTTACCAAAACATAATTGCAGAACCACAGATGAAGATAACAGTGTGTACCAAAATATAGTCCCAAAAGACACATATATACCGTCTACATTGATCATCAAAAACTTAACAAAAGTATATCATAATGGGTTATCTTCGGTAACGCAATTTGCTTTTAAAGGAAAACAGGTGAGTTACTACACATTCTCTTCCCTCTTAATCACACACTCTCTCTCTCGCTCTCTCTCTTAAACAGAAGAGATTGTTGCATTGATGTTTGCCACAGGTTTACTCTACGAAAGGGCAATAGAAATAGAGTATTGTTTGAATAATCCATTCCTTCAAAAATTTCAAAAACTGATTATTTAACTATCTTTATATCTTTGAAGCTTACACATTGTTCTTATTTCATACGTACACGACCTCAAAGCACCTAAATTTTGTAAGTATATTGTATTCTGAAACACCTAAATTTTGAAAGTACATTTTACCTTTCTCTTGAGGTAAGCAAGATCCTTTTCATATGCTTCTGGGGTAGCCAAGCCATTGCTTTCAATGACTTCAGGATGTGCCTCTGAGAAGCAAATTTTTTAGAAACATTAAAAGATAGGTAATTACAAAGTTTCAGCCCTAAAATAATAAATAGGATAATACCGCAGATAATGCTAATATCATGCATAGGAAACTTGGTAGTCTAGAAATAAAGAGAAAGTGAAGTGAGATGGAAACCTGGATAGCCAGCAACAGCTATGCCAAAGTAGTCACCATACGACTTGCGGATATGCTCAACCTGGAAAGCAAAAAAGGTGCACGTATTACTATATTATAGCATCAGAGGGAAGTTACCGCCCACAACATGCCATGTATCCCTCCAGGATGAGCCACATGTCCAGTTGTGGGATGTTCCTGGGTTCCTGATCAATTTTAGGTTCCTAAGGAAACCTGCCCCTATAGCTTCATGATCCAAATCATCTTAGAGAATTTTGTTATCGACTTCACAGATCTCAAAAGCTAAGATTCACCCATCTAAACATAGTTTTGAAGAATCTAAGTATGAAACCAATAACTAGAAAGTAGGCAAAACTACTCTATAGCATTACCACACCCGTAAATTAGACTTCATAATCACCAAATTCAATAAATAATAGTAAGCTCCAACAAGTGGCTGAGAATCTCTATGAAATACCACGTTGCCTTTCAAAAATCTAATCCTGGACGCACAAATTTAATGTGGTCCTAGCATTTAGGTCATCTAACTGCCGGTAGCTAGGTAGAAACGTCACTAACTCGATCAGAGATTAGATTTGCGCCAGTATTTCATCGAGATTCTTAATCACTTGTTGGAGCTTGCTAATTATTTATTGAATTAGATGATCCTAAAGCCTAATTTCTGGGTGAGGTAATGTCAGTAGTTTTTGCACATTTTTCTACTCTCCATAACATTACCACACCCCAAAATTAAACTTCACAATCACCCAATTCAATAAATAATTAGTAGGCAACACAAATTTAATGTGGTCCTAGCAATTAGATCATCTAATTCGTGTCGGTAGCTAGATAGAAAACGCGGTAACCCAATTATCGATTAGACTTCAAATTCACAAATTCAAATCTAACTAATTAATATCGGTAGCTGGTGTATAAATGACGGTAACTCAATGATCGATTAGACTTCATGTTCACACATTCAAATCTAATTATTTAATTTAAGAACACTAAAGAACAAAAGCAAGATCGTGATACTTACCAGGTCGAGAGCACAAGCGAACCCACCCTGGATCTGAACGAACTTATCCTGCCCACGTGGCGGATCACCTCGAAGCGCCAAAACATTTTGGATCCCATCTTTCTTTATAGTCTCTAACGCGTGATCTATCTTCTCCACCGGCATATTGGTACACGTCAAGTGCATCATCGTCTCAACACACACCATATTCTGCATCCTCCTCGCTATTTCCAGGGTCAGCTCCGCCGTGGTACCACCGGCGCCCCATGTAATGTCGCAAAATGTAGGATCGTGCGCCACCATTCGCTCCATCCTTTCGAACAGATTTTCGACACCGTCCTCCGTCTTCGGAGGGAAGAATTCGAAGGAGAAAACAACTTTTCCGGCATCTCCAGCCGCCGTAGACTCCAGAATCTTCTCAATTACCTTCATTTTCTGCTTGAATTACAGAAAAATCGGAAGATCTAAAGGATTCAGCAGTGTTTAATCCCAGATCTCGTGAGCTGATCGATTCACGACACACTGAAGGAGGGCACACCAAGATTGGGTGATCTGTTGCTTTTTTATAATGGATGGATAATACATTTGGCCCCTTATACTTTCATTAATATGTCAAAATCTGACCCTTATATTTTCAGTAATGTGTCAAATTGGCCCCTAAACTTTTACCGTTTGTCAAAGTAAGCATTGAACTAAATTTAAGGGTGTTCATCAGTTGAAATCTAATAGATTTAGGTAGATCCGATCCGATCATCCAATGGATGTTGGGTTTTGTCATCCGATCCAGTCAATTTAACATTGGATAACTGATCCAATCGCATCCGATGGATGATTAGATTGGATCGATTTCATCTGTTGATTGTTATTATTGGTTATCCATTATATCGGATTTGATAGTTTCGATACAGTATTCAACTAAATAATCAACTGTGTCAATCAATTATTCATATATTTTCTTAATTTATTGAAAACCACTACGTATATGTGCCAACTAAAAAACAATCTCGTAAAATGTTAATAAGTATATATAGTTATCGATTGGGTGGTGGTCTGATAATAATTAGATGGATAATTGGATGATCGTTGGATTGGAGCGGCTCCGTTTTATTGTATTCTAAACTATCATTCAAGAGCCGACCGATCCAATTTTGGATGTTGAAAATTTGGATTCAATCCGATCCAATTACAATTGGATATCCGATTATGGTGGTCAGTTTTAATTGAAATGAATGACTTTCTAAACACCCTTCATGTGTTTCAGGGCGAAAGATCGTGTCAGAAAGAGAGTTAAGGTGAAAAACATGAGAATGTATTTGGACCCTTGATCACATTTTATCTCAAACTCACCCATGAATCACGCTTGATACTGATATTGATCTGGTGTATCTCGGTGCATCTCATCCGAATACACATCCAACGGTGAAGATTATTCCTTACACTTCTTATCTTAACTCTCATTCTCACTGAAGCTCAACCATACGTTCCAATCGTTTGTAAACATTGAACTAACGTATGTTTCGTTCTTTCTGTGCAAGATAAATACAGTGATTTTATAAGTTTTGTTTAAATGTATTCTAAGATTGATTACCATCGTTTTAAGTTACAATAACCAATAACGTGGTTATATAGAGGGCAGTTTCAATTAAAAACATAAACTTAGGGGTCATTTACCAAACACTTACTTGTATAAGTGCTTATCAAGTCATGTTACCTTATCGAACGAGTATGACAAGGATTAATAATCTGACTTGATAAGAGCAAGGCAAATACCGAGAGTCTTACCCGGTAAGTGATAACGACGACTTTTACCACGGTTAGCGCTTACGGGGTAAATTGATGCATATAATACCTTTAAAAAAAAAAAACTAAAATCTTACCCGATGTCACCTATTTATCGAAGACATTTACAAGTAAAGCACGTTGCCCTTAAGCTCAATTACAAGATAATACAATACAAAGGTAATTGTATTTATAAAACTCTCTAAAACTCGAGGACTATTTTGGTCCTTAAATAGGTTGGCACACAAATTATTACGAAGTTTAAGAGGCTGTTTGGCAGTTGCTGAATGGTTTGGTGCAAAATAGTTAAGTGGTCAGAATGATTAAGAGGGCCAGAATGGTTAAGTACTAAATGAAATAATGTTGTTTGGTAATTATTCTCTGAATGATAATAAATTACCATTTTAACCCTCATTCACATTAGGGATGCCTTTGTATGACCTAAATTAACAACTGGCAGCAAACAAACGGAACTCGTATCAGCAAACCGGGGTCATTGATAGGGAAGTGTCGACTTTTTACCTTCTGCAATCTAATTTCATGGAATTTCACTCATAATTTCCACCTCCACTCTCACTTTCATCACCATATCTATACGTATAGCTCACCATCACTCRTCTTCCCTTCTGATCCATTTTTTGGGATCTGTAACGCAAAATCTGTCTCCGTAGCTAGGGTTTTCTTTTTTTCTCTGATTCCAACAACTATGAAGGTTCATCCTGCGCCAAATAAGCGGAACATCACCGTCCGGTACGATTTTGGTTCACAGTCCAACGTCGCTGCTACTATCTGCCGTCAAAAGAAGCTCCGGCGACTTCCGCACATCTTTGCCAAAGTACTTGAGCTTCCGTTTTACGCCGACGCTGACGTTTCGATCGAGGAAACGTCTGATTCGTTGATATTCATTGTTGATACGGACGACGATCGTGTGTGTGGGGAGGGATTTGAAGACCGGCGATCATAGGGTGGGGGGAGGGGCTGTGAGCGCTGTGTGAGGAACGATGGGGGAGAGGGCAAATATGGAAAAAGAGAACTCTGAATGGTTTAGAGACCCTTTAGATGCAAAATGGTTAAGAGGAGAAATGTAACCATTCAGAGCCATTTTTTTTTGCCAAACAACCTTAACCTCTTACTGATTAAGAGGTTGGCTCTTAATGTAACCATTAAGAGCCAAACAAACAGCCCCTAAGCATTGTTAGGGTTTGATTACCAAATGTTTACTCGGTAAACATTTACTGTGTTACCTACCTTACCGAATGTACATGATAATGACCAGTAATCTTACCCGGTAAGAGCGATAGCAATAATCGAGAGTCTATACCCATTACCGAGGGTGATGACTCATACGCAATTAGCGCTTACCGGATAATTTATCGCATACAATGTCGTTTTGATTTACAATAATCTTACATGATTATGTAAATGAAAGTGTAGACTCTCTCATGTAAACGCTTATCGAATAAACATTTGGATAAACGGCCCTTCAATTGTTATCGCAAAGTTTTACTATATGATATTATAACAATTTTAACAGATTTTTCATAATTTTCCGAAGTAAAATAAATAAAAGTTAAAGCTCTAAAAAGTACATTGAACTTCAAGGGTTTTTCTATTTAAATATTTTGATATTAATTATATTATCAATATATTTAATACAATAAAACTTTTATTTTGGTATCTAATATGTAAAGTTTTAAACATTTAAGTACATGTGTAATCGATTCAGTTAACCGCTTAGTCGCTTACCATGCTGATGTGGTATCTAACTCGGTATTATTTGTTATTCAACCAAATTTCATCCCATCATTCGTCACATCAGCATGGTAACCGGCTAATATTTCAATCGATTACTCGGGTACTTAAATGTTTAAAACTTTACATCTTACGTACCAAAATAGAAGTTTCGAAAGTACGTTAACCAAAATAGGAATCAAGTTAAAATACGTTACTTTTTCATGCAATTTGCCCTTTTGAAAAATATACTTTGAAGAGGTAGGTTAAATGAACTTATATCTGCTAATTTTTCTTCTCACACACATTAACATCGAGACTAAAGTCTCGTTTGGTTTACAAGAATAGAATGTATTTGAAGGGATTTGGATTTCAAATCCATTCCAATCCCATGTTTGATTTGTTGTATTTTCCGGATTTGAAATCATATGATTTAATTAAAATCCTACAAACATAGGATTTTGAAATCCTTATGGGTGCTCCGGATTTCTTGGGATTTTGTAGGGTTGTATGAATTAAGGTTTTAAAAAACGTTAAAAACATTTTATTTTATAATAATCGATTAATAAAAATGTAATTTAATTATTTATAATTTTTTTGTATAAATTATTTATAAATAATGGAATCCAATTCCATTTCAAATCATACAAACCAAATACACCAATGATTTCAAATCCATTCCAATCCAAATCCCTCCATGAAATCCGAATCCCTCAAAAACGATTCTGCAAACCAAATGGACCCTAATTTTTTACATTCCCAACATATGATTTAACTTGATTATGATATAAAAGCATAAACACTACCCACTTTAAGGGTGCGTTTGGTATGCAAACTACACGGGACGAGACGAGACAAAAAGATAGTCTTATGTTTGGCATGTCATGGACAAAAAAAAACATAAAACAAGGTGAGACTAATTCTAATTTTCATGGGACAAATCTTGACATTTTTTATTCCATCAAAAAAGGGAAACAACATATGACTGAATTTAAAATTACAATATCACCCTTATTATTTCATTCCAGCACAAAACCTGATTCATTCCCGTTTGTGCAGCTCATCACCTCCTAGCTCATCAGTCTGCGTATCAAACACTACCTAAAGAACCACATTAAAATCCATGACGACATAACATAACTAAAATTTATCGTACTTTTAAAAACAGATTCCCTTAACATTTTAAAATCATCGTTTAGTATATTATAAAAACATCTGATAAACCCTCGTTTTTTTCGTCACAATCTCTATGAACAACTCATTAAACATAAGATTCCGTTTATTAATTTTGACGTCTAAAAATTCAAGATTACAGGTTAGTACACTCTATATACAATTTATTAAAGGAGAAATTGCATTAAAATGCAACTGATCTCATTTTATTTATATTTTTGGGAACCAACTTTTAGAAATTATCATTTTAGGATTTGGACCAAATTTTACATATATTTAAAGGTCTGGTTAACCTCTTAACCTACTGAATATTACATAGTCCAGATCAATAACAATTAATATACTATCTTATTTTTAAAATTCGAATATTTATGTCATGAAACTTGGCATGTTAAGTTAAACGAGTTTTATTTAGTGTTCGAGATCAACTCGAACTCGAAAATTATTAAGTTCGAGCTCGAGTTGCTTGTTAAAAGCTCGAATGTCCATCCACAATTCCTAACCACTCCAACTATGGCGAATTTGCAAGAATGCAACTTCGACGAAACTGCACCTATATTGTCTCCCTTCTTCATCATCTTCACAACTAAATATTTGGTGACTCCACCAAATCAACCGATGTGGTGAACTGTCTCTGCAACTAAATCTCCAACGTTTCCATCGTGTCTGCAAAATGGAACTAATTTTGGGATAGCAACAGTGCGACGATCATAACAAGATGATAGCGACTAGGGAGGAGAAGCAATGAATATATTTAATTTTACATCCACATTGATATATATATATATATATATATATATATATAGATAGATAGATATAGAGAGATGTGAGTTATTATGCAACCCTTTA